GGGCGGATCCGCTCCCGCGCCGCCTCCCCCACCTCGCGGTCGCGATCGCTCATGCACATTTCGAAGGAGCACCGGAGCCACTCTCGGAGCGCAAAGTCCTCCTGGTCGGCGTCGGGTCCCTCACCACGCGCCGGAAAGTTGGGTCCCGCACCAAACAAGAACACAACGCACTCTCTCACATGACACAAGCGATCCCACGACAGACAGCGATTGTGGGGACTACATGAACATGACCCGTACGTGAGGGGTGGAGGGGCCCGTCCGCAGAGCTAGGCGGCGCGGGCACCCACACACTCCCACCCCACCACCCAGAGCTCCTGTGCCACTAGCCGCCTCGCTTCCGCGACCGGGATGGCAGGCACGACTCGAAAAAGAATTTTTCTTAAAAAGGGAAAGCTTCCTCCCCCGTTCCCATTTTAATCCATATCAGCTCCGACGGTGACGGCTGTGGGCGGGGTGAACCTCCGCATTGAGGTGCGAGCCCTGGGAGGCCCTGGGGATGCACGAGCATTTGCTCGACGATTGACACGAACGATCCCGCCGTGCAGGAGGTGCTGCTGGCCCTTGAGACGCTGCGGACCGAGGTGCGGACCTCCTCGCCGGCCGCCCTCCCAATCAAGCCACACGACCTGCGACTGCCGAGTGGCGACCGTGGGGTCTCGCTGGCCTTGCTGGCTGCAATCGACCTCTTCTACGAGCGGCACGGCGGGGTGAGCCTCGCGATGGGCGACATTTGCAAGGGAGAGGGCGAGCACGTCACGGTCTGCGCGCTCACACTCTCGACCGGCCTCTCTCTAGCCGAGAGCGTTGCTCATGTGGCAGAGCGAGACGGGCTTCTCCTCGCACGCGGCGCAGTCTCTCGCGCCCGCGGCTTCTTCTCCTACTCCTGGACCGGCACCGCGCTCGTCGACATGCTCGCCGCCATCGAGGACGTGGTGCGGCCGCTCGAAGCTCTCAGCGTCGGAGGTGGAGAGCGGCACGTGTGGGTCGACATGTTTTGCGCCTCGCAGAACCTGCTCGCGGGGGTGTACCGCTCGCCATCCGTCACCAAGGAGTCGGACCCGGCCGGCTACCTCGCTCGCAAGGAGGACACCGACCGGATCTTTGATGACGCTCTCGAGGCGGTGAGCGAGGTCTACTTTTACTGCTCGCCGCTTGTCGGCGAGTGGGACGCGCCGCCGCACCCTTTCCTGAGCCCGCAGCGGGATGCCAAGGGGGCGCCGGCGCAGCCATGGGTGCGGCGCGGAGCAGCGGCCATCACGCGCGCTTGGTGCCTCTTTGAGCTTTCCGTCGCGCTGGGGAAGAAGTGCAAGCTGCACGTCGCTCTGAGCCGCGCGGACTGCAAGGCCTTCGGAGAGATGCTGAGCAACGAGTTTGACCAGATTGCGGGCATCGTCGCCGCGATCGACGCGCGGGACGCGCAGATCTCAAAGGTGGAGGATCGCGGCTACATCCTCGGCCGCATCGAGGCGCTGGCACCAGGCGCGGCGGATGCGGAGGCGGAGGGCCTGAGCCACGTGACGGCGCGTGTGTCAGAGGCGCTTCGCGGCTGGCTGGTGGCGTCGGCGAGGGAGGAGCTCGGGAGGCTGGCGCCGGCGGAAAGGGCGACGTCCGTGCTGATAAACTCGTGTGGTCGGTTGCTGTACGTTCAGGGTGACCTGCCCGGCGCGGAGGCGCTGTATCTCGAGGCGGTGGGGGGGAGGCGAGATCAGCTCGGCGACCGGCACCCGGACACACTCGTCTCGATCCACAACCTCGGCAGGCTGCTGAGGGCCAAGGGCGACCTGAACGGCGCGGAGGCGCTGCTCCGCGAGGCGGTGCTGGCGAGGCGAGACGTGTTTGGCGGCCGGCACCCGGACACGCTCGCCTCGATCGAGTTCCTCGGCACGGTGCTAAAGGCCAAGGGCGACCTGGACGGCGGGGAGGCGCTGCTTTGCGAGGCGGTGGAGGGGCAGCGAGAGGCACTCGGCGACCGGCATCCGAGCACGCTCCACTCGATCAACAGCCTCGGACACCTGCTGTGCGACAAGGGCGACATCGAGGGCGCGGAGCCGCTCTATCGCGAGGTGCTGAAGGGGAACAGAGAGACCCTCGGCGACCGGCATCCAGACACGCTCGCTTCGATCGCCTGCCTCGGCATGCTGCTCGACGACAAGGGCGACCTGGACGGCGCGGAGCCGCTGTATCGCGAGGCGCTAGATGGGACTCGAGAGACACTCGGAGACCGACACATGTACACGCTCGGCTCGATTGGCAACTACGCCGACCTGCTCTGCCGACGCGATCCTGTACATCCCAACCGCGCGCGGACGGCGATGGGTGACGCGCCAGAGGTGGCGCGAGAGGTCTTAGGAGCAGACCACCCAGTGAGTCTGCTGATCGAGGCCCAGGCTGCCCGCATCGGGATCGCACTTGGCGTGGCTGGCCGGACGGTCCTGCGCCAGGTTGTCGCGCGCATGGAGGCGGTGCTCGGTCCGGAGCACCCGCAGACGCGCAAGTACAAGCTAGTGTGCGAGTCCGCTGCGGGTCGGTTTGGTGGTTTGCTCCGAATGTAGCTGTTGCATCCACTTCGTGTGTCCGTGTGCGCGCCAGTTTACGGGGTGTAGGTCAAACCACAATAACGCCTAACACGCGGTGCGGCCGCGTCGCGCGCGCACATGGCCGCGCGCCAAGGCCCAAGCCCAAGGGGCAGAGCCAGAGGCTCGAGGGCAGAGAGCGCGCGCGGGGCTTGACGCGGTCAAGAGCCTTTTCGCTTTTGTTTTTTTGGTTCCCTTTTACACTGGGCGCGCCAGTCCCATGGCCCCGGTGTTCCCGGGCGGCAGTCCAGAGTCGACAGCGACACATTCGACAGCGACACCTCACGTACCTAATCAGTGATCAGTGCAACGTGGCCGCCTCCCCTCCGGAGGCCTGCTCGGCCTGCCGGCCACCCTTCTTGCCGCCACGGGAGCAGCACGGGAAGGGCGGGCAGTCGGAGCGGTGTAGCTCGTGCTGGCAGTACTTGTGCGTCGGCGAGCCGTCGAAGCCCGAGTAGAGGAAGAGGGCGACGTGCACGCAGAGGACGTAGTAGCCCTTCGCGAGGTTGACGGAGAGCATGAGGCACGTCTCCTCGCCGAAGCGCTCGGCGAGCGGCACGCAGAGCGCGGGCTGGCTCTTGACTGTGAGCAGGTTCTTGGACACGGGGCCTGCGCGCGCGGGTACGGCGGGTGTCGGGCGAGGGCGCAAGAGCCGGAGCGCAAGAGGCGCAAGAGGCGGAGCGCGTGGGGCGGCGGGGCGCACCAAACGTCATGTTGAGCAACGGCACGGCCACGAGCAGCACCTCGAGCGCGTAAAAGATGGAGGCGTTGCGGGAGAGCTCGTGCAGGGCGCGGAGCCACTTTGTGGGCAGCGGCAGCAGCAGTAGCAGCAGCTGCGTGCTGCAGCGCGTCACCGGCCCGATGACGCAAAAGATGAGGTACGTCGTGTACATCAGGTGCCGGTTCAGCCCGCCGAGCTCGTAGATGATGTCGGCGAGGCTCCAGATCGAGTACTCCTCGTCAAAGTCGAAGCCGTTCTGCTTGAGCAGCGCGGGCACCGAGCCGGTCACCTGCGCGGCGGGAGGCGGAGGCGAGTCCGACATCATCTGCGGGGCGTGTGGGGTAAGGCGGGCACGAGGCGGCTGGTGGCATCTCACCACGCGGTCGAAGCACGACATGAACATGCTGAGGTAGAGCAGGTAGCTCGTCGCAGCGCAGAGCGACACGTGCCACAGCCACTCGCGCGAGAGCAGGAACGGCCTCGCCCCGCCCAGGACGGTCATCTGCCGGCGCAGCTTCCGCTCCCGCTTCGTGCGCACGTCCTTCGCCATCGACGTCTGGAGGCTCCTCACCGACGTGCGGAAGGAGGCCTTGACCGTGCTGATGCCGCGGCTCGCAGACTGGAGCCCGCGCGCGCCGCGCTGCCGGAGGGAGCTCTGCACCTCGGGGAGGCCGGCCGAGCCGGTCGGAGAGTACGGCACGCTGCCGGAGGAGTCCGGGTGCCGGTCGGGGTCCTCGGACCGGTCTGGTTCCTCGGTCCAAGCCTCGCTGTCCGACGGCGGCGAAGCTGACCCGGCGGGCGCGCCATCCACGTCGAGGAGGACAGGGCCCTTCTCGTTGAGAGGCGGCGGGCTGGGCGGCGGGCTGAGCAGCGCGGGCCTGCGTCTCGACCAGGGGAGCTCACGGGGAGTGCGGTGGATTCAGAGCTGGATGCACGGGCTACGAGTACAGCTGACGAGCAAGCCTCGTCTCGAGCGCTAGTTGGAGAAGAGAGAGAGGCGAGTCCCGCATCTAGCAGCGCGGGCCCGGCCTGGTCGCCGTCCGAGTCCTCCTCGCCAGAGTCGTACGACGCCCAGCCGGCCGTCTTGCGGAGCGGCTGTCCGCGCCCCTCGAGCCGCTCGACGACTATCGAGAGGACGAGGGAGAGCATCACCTGCGGAGGAGAGGGGCGGGAGAGGGCCGGTGCCGGTGCGAGGGGTGGAGGTGGCTGGCAGGGGGTGGGCGGACTGGAAAGTGGGCTGGCAGGGGATGGGCTGAAGGGGGCTTGGCGGTGGGCGAGCACCGCGAGGCAAAAGGCGTACATGGCCACCTAAACAAGAAAGGTGGGGAGGTTGAAGTGAGAGGGCGAGAGGGGGGAGCTGCAGCAAACG